ATATAATATATATATATATATATATATATATATATATATATATATATATATAATATAATATATAAATATATATATATATATATATATATATATATATATGTGTGTGTGTTTGTGTGTGTGTGGTAAAACAGGAAAACTTACACCTATAATTTCAAAGTCAAGGCTTATATAGACCCTACACTTGTGCTGGTGGGACAACCAACCAATCACAGTCTTCATAAGGCTGTGTCATACCTAGCAACGGGGTCAGGCCTCCTGTCAGAGCTCCTCACTAAGATCAAAGTTTTTCCCTGCGTCTCAATGTTCATACTATCCATCCCAAATAGTATGTGAGATTAGAATAAGTGTGTCCCAAAGCATAGTATGTTGAAAGGAGTATGCCGAAAGTCCCCGGATGGTCTACTATTTCAGGTCAATTTTTGAAGTGTGGATCCGTGCACACTCTAATGGCTAAAATTGCGCTTTGGCGAAGGATTTGGTCCAGAACTACAAACACTAATAAAATGCGTTAGAAAAACTACAAACGGGGCGGATGAACTCGATTGACGGTTAGGTAGATTATTAGTTACTAATAATCAACATTTAACCTGGTAAAAAATATTTATTTATTGTTATCCATGTTATATTTCATCTGCAACAGCAATGTGAACTTTTATAAACAACCATTTGGTCGTTAATTTTTAAATGCATCATTATGCATAAAATATGAGCAGAGTTCTCCGCATGAAGGTCGCTGTGATTTTGCCAAGTAATACATGTTCCTGGATCAACATTACTGTCCAAAAATATAGCCTTAACCCAATCCCTACCCCTAAACCTAACCCTACCAATAATTTATTCCTAAAATCAGTGTGAAATGATAGCTGATTACCAAGGGTGTAGAAGCACCTAACCCTGATCGTAAGCCTAAAACAGACATTTCCTGAAAAGTTATCCCTCAATTCTGATTGGTTGATTGGAATGTTGTTCCAGGAACATGTTGTACTTGGTGAAATCACGGTCACCCCGCATGAAAGACCCGCGACTGGCAGATCAATGTGCTACTTCTTTTCTCTCCAATATGGTAGGAAGTTAAATGAAATGCAATGTGGAGAATGTTAACTGTGACAAGATGATTGACAGGCCAGTTTACAGGGTGCGTGTAACAGGTGCGACAGACAAGGGCGTGTCTACGTGGTGGCCAGGTGTTGTAAATACAACTTAACCACTGATTTGTAGTCGTGTCCTCATTTGGAAGACCAAACAAAGTAGTTTCGCTTTCACAACGAAAAGGCGTAGTATAAGTAGGCACATTGAGACGCAGCATTTGTCTTTTCCTTGCTCAGAGTTGATCTCAGATTGGTCCTGAATCACTCTTAAGCTAAGACTCCTTCATAGAATTTTTTAAGCTAAATTAGGAGCTTTCTGAGAGGATTCTTAGAAGCTTTAAGAATACGGGCCCAGGTGTCCCTAGAAAGTTTCAGTAACGTTTCAGCTCAAAATACCCCTCAGATCATTTACGATACCATGTCCATGTCCTAAGTGTTTTCAGGTTTGAAATCCTCATTCCAGTGTTTTTGTTGTTAGGGTTAAAATCTGATGGCACTGTTCTGGCCAGGGGTCCGTTCTTCGTACTTTGCTTAATACATCTGAGATTATTTGAAAGATGCCAGATCTTCTAATCGTGATAACTGATCTCTGGCTAATTTGGTTCTTCAAACGAATTTGCGGATTTGATTAAAATATCTGGATTAAGTTGTCTATTAGTGCGCGTTCTCATGTTCCCCGTAAAGGGCAGATGTATCGATACTCGAAACCACGATCAGCAATGCAGCGATTGGCTGGCGGCAAGACAGCAACATAATGACATCATATAATTAAAAAAGATGCCTGACGAAAAGCTTGACAAATTTCTGGAAACAGCCAAGTGAACAAAACTACATAAATGTAATAATAGATAAATGAAATGTGCACTGTTTTTATTTTTTTTAAATGATTCCCAATTATTTATATTCATGATTTCTAGTATTTGTAAGACATTTTTATTTCAGTGTTGTAATTAGCAATTCATTTAATTTTATCTTTGAAGCAGATTTGTTATGTGACGGCGTTAATTAACGTTTTTTAAGGGTCAAGATCATGTTATCTGCATCTCCTGCGCTCCATCAAGCCACTCCCATAATATCTGTCATCACTCAAATTAATGCACGGCTCAGATGAACTGTATATGTGTGTAAGATTCCAATGTAATTATAATGTAATTATTTCATCACAAATACATTTTTCAACGAGTAAACCTGGCTGTGTCTACAGTGTTATAGATGATGACTACACAAAATAATAATATTTTTGTATTTCTATCAGAGCAGAGCATCCTGGCCACTCTTTGCTATTCAGTTATTTAGATCAGTCAAAATATACACAAAATAATAATGTTTCTAAGCATAAAAATGATGCCATATCTCTGGTCTCTGTGAAGACAGAGACGATGGCAACTTCAGCCACATTAGCTGTGCAACATGCTTACAAACACATTAAGAAAGGCAGCATTATTGTGTTAGTGCTAGCTGCTCTAGTGAGGAGATTAATATTGACTGCATGCAGCTCACTCAGGGGAGAAGTTAATAGGGCATAATACATCACCAATTGTGGGCGGGCCTTACCCTAATGTGACATCACATTGGGCTGCAAACAAATTAGTTTAATAATTTATTACTTGTTATAACGTTTAGCTTTATTGTGTGTTAATGTAAATTGATATGATCTGAATAACATACAGATAGATCCTTAAAATAATATGATTATTTTCTCAGTTGAGATTAATGTATGATCTTACGTCAGTTTCTCCAGTTTACAGCAAGGATGCTTCAGTGCATCAGAGAGCAGCTTCAGACCTGCAACTCCTAGATTATTCTTAGACAGATCCAGTTCTCTCAGCTGTGAGGAGTTTGATCTCAGAGCTGAACTCAGAGCAGCACAACCTTCATCTGGGATGCCACAATAACTCAACCTGAATAAATGAAGAAAAATGTTTTACTCAGAAGTGTTAATACTTAGGCGTTAATATTATTGATCAACAAAGAGAGAAATCAAGACAGAGCAACTGAATATGACATATGAATCAGAATCACTGCATCATCTGGAGAATCAGGATGTAGAAAAATATGAAATCATTAATTCAACAATATTACTGAATTATGGTGTGTTAAATGTATTCAGCAGTGGTACAGAGCAGAATGTCCTAAAAAACGTAAAATCTGTAATAGAAAAGCATTATTAATAATAGACAGAAAGAAAAATTAATGTTGCCCTATCTCACTCTTGTGTCACACACTGAGACAATCTCAACAGTAGTGAACACGAGGTCTACATTAGATTTGTTGTAAAGCACCAGACTAAATTTGCTGAGTTTGTTGAGTTGTAGGTAAAAATACATTGCTTGTATGTGATGCATTTATTCTTCTTCTCATTCAACCAAAACTTAACCATTATTAATATAAAAAACCATGAGTGAATGGAAGTGTTGACTATGTTATGGTGTGGAGAAACAAGTTAATCTGTATATTCCACTGTTAAATGAGCAAAACAGACTTTGGAAAATTGTGTTTGCAGTTTATCCTCAGTATTTCATTTAAAATATTCACAAAAATGTTATTTTAAATTAAAAATAGGTGATTGTTTTTCTTAAATGTGTGCCAAAATTATTGACACCCCTTCTCATTCTTATGATAATAATTGATCTTTTTTTCTGTTGGATTGGCTTTGCATTTCATGATGATCAAGGATCAGACAAACTCACTATGACAACTGTTGTAGATTTTTTTGGTGACTGTCTTGTACACATTTTTCTTGTTGCTCTTGTGCTATATTTAAGATGCAAGGTGAAAATTGCAAATAAAATTATTGGTGACTGAATATTTTGTGAACATTGTGAATGATAGACACATTTAATAAACTATAAAAAAAATTCCCACAGCCTGCTTTGCTCATATTTAACAAAGGTGCCAAGATTTGTGAAGTATACTGCATTCAGAAATAATCCAATTTACATTTGCATTTTCATGTTAAGATTCACATATGATCTTACCACAGTGTCTCCAGTTTACAGTAAAGATCCTTCAGTCCATCAGAGAGCAGCTTCAGACCTGCAACTCCTAGTTTATTCCAAGACAGATCCAGTTCTCTCAGCTGTGAGGAGTTTGATCTCAGAGCTGAACTCAGAGCAGCACAACCTTCATCTGTAATGTCACAATCCTTCAGCCTGCAGAACAACAACACACTCTTTACTCCCTCAGTTCAGCAGAAACAACAACACAAATACAGAGAGACTATGATAATAAATCCTAATTCTGTGTGGGTGTTACGTCCCAGGAAGTATTATTGCTATTATTATTATTATCATTTTGATTAATTATTATTATATTATTTTGATTTGTATGTAAGGCCTAAAAAAGTGACATATATGCGTTAATTTGCAGTGGTGTTTGGCTGCCGTGGCTGATGTCATCAGTTTTCTGAGCTTTTGAGATTAACAAAATCTGCGCAGAACCGATCACCGGTGATCATTGCGAGATGCATGTCGGTTAGAAAAGTGTCTGAGTTACATCCGCCTTGCTCTGATGTCATGCTGACCTGTGCCAAAAAAGTCTCGCGACGGCGAGGCGGTTGTGTCGGATTGTGCAGTTGAGCGCAGTTGCTCTCCACCGACTGCGCTGATCAAAAGCATGTTCAAAAGCAAGTTTGCGATCGCGAAATCACTTTCGCTGGGGCCCCACAAACCTCTGGGCCCTCTGCACTCTGTCACCCTTTCCCCCTCACCAGCCGTCATGGTTTGCCTACAGTGTCGGAACAAAGGAGTGCGGAGACGATGGAGGGTAACGAGGAACAATTTTTATTAATCCACATAAAGACATACATGGGCAGGAACACACACGTAGCGCAGGGGTTAGACATATAAGACTGGACGCAGGACTCAGGAAAACACAGGGCTTAAATTCAGGAACTAAATGGGGAACACCTGGAAACAAAGAACATAATCAAACATGGGAGAAACTGGGTCATGGGGAGCAAAACACAAGACACGGAACACAGGGGCAGTCCAAGGGCGTGACATTACCTCCCCCTCCCGGAAGGCACGTCCATGCGCCTCATAACTTCCAATGGGGAGCGGGGGTGGGTGCTCTGGAGACCTCTAGGGACAGGCTTACATGGGACAGAAGGCCTTCAGGGCGGTGCAAATGCCGTCAACTTTTTCAGAAATTCACGTTTTTGTTGATTAAATGGAGATGATACAGGCATTCATGATACAGGTGTTCAAAAGCTTGTGCTTTCATTGAGGACACCTGATGTTAACAAACAGAATCACTGAAAGAGAAAATCAAATATTTTGGTTACCATAAAAATTAAGTGATTCGGGTCAAATGATGATTATGTAAAACCATAACCAACACCACCTGATCACCTTTTCTCTTGGCTAGTCTAGCTGCTATAACTCAGTTACAACAGCCATACAAAATGTATTGTTAAAAAGTCAAGGGTCAAGAGCCCAACTAAAGCAAACACTGACCACTGTAATGGTAACCTAAAAATTAAGATTTTCTCTTTCAGTGATTATGTTTGTTAACATCAGGTGTCTTCAATAACACTGTTTTGTGGGCCTGAAAACACAAGCTTTTGAACACAATGCCTGTATCATCTCCATGTAAACAACAAAAATGTGTATTTGTGAAAACGTTGACGTCATGTGCATGCATATTGCATTTTTGCGGGTTGTTTCTTGATCGCCAACTACTGGCCTGGCATGCATAACATAGTATTCTTTAGAATAGTGTTTTTTTTTGTCCAATGAAACCAATATTTGTTTAAATTTTACTTATTTTTTTCATGCTATTTTACTAATTTTGAATGGTTGATTGTAAACATCTCATTTGATTAATTCTAATTAATTCTAATGTGTTAAATTTAATTAATAATATTGCTTGTAATATTTTGAAACAATTTTATTGAGTAAATATAGTGAATAATTTTTTACAGCGTACGCACCTCGGTTGGATTGTTTAAAGGCACGGTGAGTCTCTGGCTGTTCTTCTTTCAGACAAATACATTCGGAGTTATATTAAAAAATAAAAATATATTAAATAAATATATTAATGGCAGTGAATGGTTGTTGAGATTTTGAAACAAAATAAAATGCATCCATCCATCATAAAAAGTGTTCCACACAGCTCCGGGGGGTTAATAAAGGCCTTCTGAGGTGAATTGATGCGTGTGTAAGAAAATATTCATATTTAAAATTTTATAAATCGCAATCTCTAGCTTCGGCTAACTGTCGTACACACATTCACGAGACTGTGGCGTTCAAGCAGATAATGTAGGACGTAGGCATAGCATAAGCTCTGGTGAGAATATAGAATATTTACTTGTTCTTGTGACCTGTGTTTTGTTTTGGTCTCTCCACTGCGCTTGGAAGAGCCAGGACATTTTTTAACATAACTCAGATTGTATTAGTCTGAAAGAAGAAAGTCATATACAACTAAGATGGCTTGAGAGTGAGTAAATCATGTGGTAATTTTCATTTTTGGGTGAACTATCCCTTTAAACCTAAACTCCACTCAAAAATGAAAAATTTCTCATTATTTACTCACCCTCATGCCATCCTCGATCTATATAACTTTTCTCTTCAGATAAACACAAATGAAGATTGTTAGAAAAATATTGCATCTCTGGGAGCCCATATAATGAAATATAAGTGCATAGCATCCTTAAAGTTGTTAAGCTCGTTTTGAAGCTGATGTGAAGTGAAGCAGAAGCACAGAGTCACTTTTGTCGTGAGCTTCATTATGTGGTTACATGTTCACATGAACACACATATGACAGTTGGCCTGAAGCACTTAAAAATTAAAAATTGTCTTACGCACACCTATGGTTTTGCTTTAGAAAACAGTGCTGATTAATCAACTGGGGTCTTTTTGGTTTATAGCTGTTTGTTTTGCATGGTTTTTGAAGCATAAACCTTCAGGTTACTATAATTTTACTATATAATTTGCATTATAATGGACTGACAGAGACAGATTTTTTTTTTTTCAAAACTTAATGTGTTAATTTGAAGGAAAATAATTCATACAGATCTGTTATGTCATAACAGCGAGTAAATTGATGAGAAAACATTACATATTAAAAATGACATATAATTGTTTAATTGGAGCTTAATGTATGATCTTACATCAGTTTCTCCAGTTTACAGTAAGGATCCTTCAGTCCATCAGAGAGCAGCTTCAGACCTGCATCTCCTACTTTATTCCCAGACAGATCCAGTTGTCTCAGCTGTGAGGAGTTTGATCTCAGAGCTGAACTCAGAGCAGCACAACCTTCAGCTGTGACGCCACAATTACTCAACCTGCAGAACAACACACTCTTTACTCTCAGTTCAGGATATAAAATTTAACAGTGGGTTTCATCAACATTCATAGCAATTACAGTGGTTTCAACAACCATAAAATTCTTAAACACATAAGTTTACAGACATGCAAACTTCATTGTATCGGAAGATTAGAGATAGTCTCACTAGAGGAGCAATAGATGAGGTTGCAGACATTCACAGAAAATACAGGTGACAGAAATTCAAAACCCAATCCTTTAAATTAGCCTCTTAATCTCAAGTTTACTGTTAATGTGGAAGGGAAGAGACACCAAAGTGTGTTTTTTGTCTAAATTAATATTACAATTGTCAATAAAAATAGAGAAGCTCTGCACTAAAACACACACATCTGAAGATTACACTCAGTGCTACTTACTCTGCTGATCTGGAGGCTTCAACGACAGGCAAGAGCTTCACAAGAACTTCATCAGGTGTCATGTGTTTTTGGCCACTACTAATGTATTTACTGAAATGAAATTGATCCAACTGCTCTGAGGTCAACAAAACAAAGACAACAGCTGACCACTGTGATGAGGACAGTCTGGCGCCTGACAGACCTCCAGATCTGAGATACTCCTGGACTTCACTGACGAGAGACTGATCGCCCAGTTCATTTAAACAGTGGAACAGATTGATGGATTTCTCTGGTGAGGGATTCATTCTTATTCTTGTTTTAATGTACTCAATCGTTTTCTCTTCACTGTATGAGATGTTCCCAATGTGTGTCAGAAGACCTTTCAGGAGCGTCTGACTGGACTCCAGTGAGAGACCCAGAAGAAATCGGAGGAAAAGGTCCAGATGTCCATTCTTACTCTGTAAAGCCTTGTCCACGGCTCTCTGATGAAGGTCAGATATTGTGTGACATGTGAACTCGTGTGCATGTTTTGAGCTGAGGTTTACATTGAGCACATCCCTCTTGTCCAGCAGGAATGAAAGCAGCACAT